AGTTCACATCTTCATTTCTCCTACTTCTTCTATCAAGAAACCTCTCCAAAAGGTCATCATGTTATGTTGAAGCTTGGCTTGGTTGGAGAAAATAACGTTGTGCTCTTTTCATAGAAGTCAAATTTATTTCTCCAAAACTAGCATTGAACTAATGGAAAAAAGACTTGTAAGATTTATTATATTTTACTTTTAAAATCGGTTAAAGAATCGATCTTAAAAAAAGGAATCTTAAAAGCTAGAACCGATCTTAAAGGTTCATTTTTAAGATCAGTTATGGAATAATTAATCTTTAAAGTATCATTTTTTAAGTTTGATTGTGCCATAACTAATATTAAAGGTCCCACTCTACTTTCAACCCATCACGTTTTCGCTACTGGTACATCATCTCCATCCCACATGCTACCATTATCCTAACTTTACCTCCACAAACCCCTCCCTCTTAGCTCGACCATAAATATTAGGGTAACACTTAGGAGCCTAAAGCCTCTATTTCACAAGATGCATTTACGTCGCACTCGACATCCTCATCGAAAGGCGTACCAACTCCTCCACTTTCACCTTCTCCAAGAACCTCTCCATCATGCTTGCGAACTTCATCGTGTTAACGTTTCATAGTGCATTTAAGGAAGCAACTTTTTATGCATTTATCTAGAATTTTTGAATTTTTTATGTTTCTTATATTCATGTTTTGGCTTAGATTTATGATAGTGGTATTATTTGATGATTGTGGTAAATCTTACTCATTTTTCGGATTTTTACTCACTTGAAAACTTTGTCTTTAGTAGGTCAAATCTAGATCTCCCAAACTCGGACTGGGACATTCTTGGTACCGTTGGAAAGCTTAAAGATAATTCTACAACTTCTTTGTTGAAGTCCAGAGCCAATTCAGATTGTAAGAGGTCCGAAAAGGCAGTGCAAATTTGTGGCCCTGTGCATTATTTTCTGTTTATTTTTAGATGGTAATGTTAGGATTTGTTAAATGATATAATTAGTTGATTTAGTGGATTGTGCTTTTAATTACACATATTAGACCCGCTATATTTCTCTATTAATAGGTGTTATGAGACTTGTTGTATACACTTTTACTTCATTTTTTAGATTTGAGATTTTTTGCTCAAGAAGCTTCTCTCTTTTTCTCCCAACTCTCTTCTGTGACACCCTCTACCTCGCATACCCTAAACACGTAATTAATAAAATATGAGTAACTTAATATTTCATTATTAAAACACCAAACGTATTCAGATAAAGAGCACCACATCCAGTTATCTACGGAAATATCCGTAGATAAGTTATCTATGGAAATTTCCGTAGATAACTTATCTAGGATATTTCCGTAGATAATTTATCAACGGATATTTCCGTAGGTAACTTATCTACGGATATTTCCGTAGATAAATTCCGTATGTAAAACATATTTTTATTATCTTTTTACTTTTATTTATTATAAAATAATTAGAATATTTAAATTAACATCATTAAAAAAATACATTATAAAATTTATTCTTTTTTGGTTTAATTATGTATTAACCAAAAAATAATTTTTAATTAAAATATATTTTAGAATTTTAGTTAATTCATTATCATTCACTCACTATATTAAAAAGTGATAAAAAATAAATAATTTTTAATTAATTTAATAAAATAAAAACTTTAAAATATATATCTAACCCTCTTGCCCTAGCAGACCTCTTTCTCTTCTCTGTTAAACCAATCCACACTCCCTCGCCGGCCACCACAGCTCCTTCTCCGTTTAACCATTATAACAGTTCCTCACCCGACCACCACACCTCTTATACTAATAATACTAATAATAAAGAAGATTGTTTCATTTGGTGTCCACATATTTCTTTACTTATTTTATTCTTAATTGGTATTTCAGTGTGTGTATTACACATGCTAAATATTTACCATATATAACATAAATTTATAATAAATTATATATACCAATCAATATTAGATTTGAATATGTAAAACATAATAAATAAAACCTAAAATCTATAGCAATTTCTTTGATACAAATATGTAATTAATTTTAATATATAATAAATTTAATATCAGAATATTTATTATAAATTTAGTTATGATTTATATAATCTTTTGATTTAATATTAAATTTCTTTTGATTATAATATTTTAATGTATTTTATTTGAAATATCAGTTAATATATTTTATTATATTTTTATTTTAATTATTATAAATTAATTAGAATATTTAATTTAATATTATGAAAAAAATAACTATTATAAGATTTAATTTATTTAATTTTATTATTTATTATAATACTTTTTAGTCACTGTATTGACTAAAAAATTATTTTTAAAAAAACAATATTTCAAAATTTTAATTAATTCATAAAAATAAAAAAAAATTATTGTAAAAACTAAAATTAAATAACTTAGTTAAAAAATGACTATTGTTAATAATTTAATGTAGAATTTGTTAAAAATATGTTTTTGAAAAAATCGAAAAATAAATAATAAAACACATTTGTTTCCCTCCGAGCGCGCCCCAATCTGAAAAATCGGAAGTCACCACTCTCCCTCCTCCTCCACCTGCTGTCGTATTCTTCTTACGTTAGGGTTTTCATCTCACTTCAATCCCACGCTCTTTCTTGGCTTAAACTCATCGCTTCTTTTCGCTTTCAGCTCTTGGCCCCCAGGATAGGCTACTTGCCTTTGTTGATTTCGCTTTTGAAGCCTCACTTCAGCACCGCGCTTCCCCCTGGAGTTGACACCATTTGGTTTGAATACAAGGGCCTTCCTCTTAAGTGGTGCGTCTACAATGCTTTTTTCACTCTCGCATCGCGTTGCACTCACCAATTTGTTCATGATTCGTGCAGGTATATACCCACTGGTGTTCTTTTTGATCTTCTATGCGTGGAGCCCGAGAGGCCGTGGAATTTGACGATAAAGATTTTTGTTTTGTTTTCGTTTGCTGCTTATCAAATGAATATAGGTCCATGTGCTATGAACTATTTTTTGATTTTGGGAGGGGAAGGGGAGCACCGCTTAAAATTAAATAGTAAGATTGCTTAAAGAAATTAGGAGGGATTTATTACAACATTTTTATGCTAGCTACAATCAATCTGTATCTTATGATTTGTAGGTACACTTTAGAGGATATCCAAGTAATTTGGTGCTTCCCTGTGAAGGTGAAGACAACGTGAAGTGGAGCTTTATAAACTCATTGAAAGAGGTCAGTTGTGTGATTTCTTGTGTGTGTGCATCGAATTCTGACGGTACTTGTTTGATTAATAACATGATACTTTATGCCTGTTCCACCTTTCAAATAATATGCCTATGCACTAAAACATATGCGTTTAGTTATTTACTGAAATTTGCGTATACTAATGTTTAAGTAGATATCACTTGAGTCCTTTACATGGTTTATTGGTGTGGCATATAGGATATTAAGGGAACTACAATGTCAAGGGATAGGGTCTGTGTAATCCTCTCACCCCTCTTAACTTACTACCACTCCCTAATACTACTTCTTTGTTTCACAAAGAAGGAGTATCAAGGGATGATTTTATAAAGAAATATCGTGAGAAGGTCAAGAGCTAAATTGAGAAACAAACCCAAAAATATGCCAAATATAACAACAAAGGGAGGAAAAAGGTGACTTTTGAAGTTGGGGATTAGGTTTGCCTTCATTTGAGAAAGGATAGATTCCCTACTCAAAGGATGTCAAAACTCAACCCTAGGGGAGATTGACCTTTCCAAGTTCTCCAAAAAATTAATGACAATGCATACATTTTCTATCTTCCCTCTGACTATGGTGTTAATTCCTCGTTTAATGTTTGTGATCTTGCACCTTTTCTAAAAACTAATAACATGGATGAGCTTAAAGATTTGAGGTCAAATCCTTCTCAAGAAGGAGGGGATGATGGAGGGCCACCCTTAGAGCTTCATGTTGGACCCATTACTAGGTCCATGGCTAGGAGAATGGAGGAAGATGAAGGAGATACCATGCCTAGAGCCATACTCATCATGAGTGTGAAGTATTGATCCATCTCCTAGGCCCATTTTGACTAGTATAAGATTTTCTTGCTTTATTTCCTTTTTTACCCTTGGATTTTGGGGATACTTTAGGTAATAGGATTTTATTATGTATTTTCATTTAGCCTTTGTATTATGGGGCAAATTAGCTTAGGATTTATTTTAGGGCTTAAACCTTGACTTGTTAGGTCAAAGTCCACTTTTTTCTATTTTTAGGTCAAAGGGTATTTTGGTCTTTTAGGAGGAAGGAACCCATGCATCATCTAGGGTTCATTTAGGTTGCATTTGGGCATGCATTACATGACCATGCAACCCTAAATGCCTTCCCACTCCTATAAGTACCCTTAGCCTAGCACCTTGTACACACTTTGGATTATATGAATTTGAGAGTGCATTTTTTGCCTCAAATCCTTTCCATAGTCACATAGGTCATCACGGCCTAGACCTTCCCTCACCTCCCTTCAGTGAGTTTAAGGTTTATTGAGTGACCTTCACCCCCACTTTGTGAAGTGAGCCAACCTAGAACCACCCAAACACCTCCCTCCGTTCATTCTCTTTATTTTCCTACTCTCCACTCCTCACGCCTTTTATCTCCTTTTCCTCCATCCTTGAAGGAAAGTCCAGCACCTAAAGCCATTAGCTTGGTCGTGGCAAGGAGCTTCTCTCCCACCTTGGACGTCTTGGTTTCTCCCATGGTGGAAGAAGTCCATCACCTAGGAGTGGCCTTCATCTACCTTGGAGTGAGCCAAACCCTAGAGTACTTCTCAAGCATTCCATCAAACATGATGGAAGAAGTAGGGAGAAGTGATGAATGTTCTTCTCCTTAGCTCCTCCTAGCCACGGATCCTCTTTAAGGAGATATCACCGAATGAAATGGAACTTGAATGAAGAAGGAACACGGATGGATGAAGGTTCAAGCCTTGGATGGAAGCATCCAAGCTCAAAGATCAATGGAAGACTCACTTCAAAGAGAAGGAAGAAGATGAACTCCCTAGGTTTTTGAGGTGAATTCTCAAGAAGACTTTGAAAAGGAAATTCGGCTCTTGGCTCTCAAATTTCATATAAGGTTCAAAGTGAAATACAAAGTGAAGTAAGGAGGCTTATATGTTCACGGAACTAAGGTTATTGGCGCCAATGTGAATGGCACACATGTGGCGCCAAGTTTTGAAATTCAAAAATTCAAAAATTTGAATTTCAAAGCTTGGTTCACATGTCTTAATCCGGTCACATGAGTGCTAATGCAATTAGATTGAATTTAGTATGCATTTAGGTTTGCATTTCGGTGTCACACTTGTGCAGCCAAGGTGGTGCCAAAAGTGTGACCTAAATGCAACTTAAATACATCCTAAATTTAACCTAATTTACCCTAATTCAAATAAACTACTAATCCTCCTTAAACCCTACTCTAATGACCGAAATACATTGGTCAAAAATATACAATGAATAGGAAAAATTACAAGAAGAAGAATGAGCCTAATATTGGGTATCAAAAGCCCAAAGCCCAAGAAGCCCAAAATAAGCCCAAAAACCAAATCCCTAATCTATGGTCAAAATACAAGACCAACATCAAAATAACTTCCTATACTAAGAAAATGCAATAAAACATGGTGTTTAATCAATCAAGGTCCAAGTGAGAAGCACCTTAGGCCCACCAAGCCCATTGGGCCCACTAAGTTTTAAAAGTCTCATTAATTAAGGAATGCCCGGACACCAGACTAATCCTTAATTAATGGTTTTGAAAATAGGTTCATGGAGTCGCCACCAATATTTTACTCAAAATATTGGAAAAAGAAAAGGTTTTTAAAGATCCAATAATGGAAATTAATGACAATGCATACATTTTCTATCTTCCCTCTGACTATGGTGTTAATTCCTCGTTTAATGTTTGTGATCTTGCACCTTTTCTAAAAACTAATAACATGGATGAGCTTAAAGATTTGAGGTCAAATCCTTCTCAAGAAGGAGGGGATGATGGAGGGCCACCCTTAGAGCTTCATGTTGGACCCATTACTAGGTCCATGGCTAGGAGAATGGAGGAAGATGAAGGAGATACCATGCCTAGAGCCATACTCATCATGAGTGTGAAGTATTGATCCATCTCCTAGGCCCATTTTGACTAGTATAAGATTTTCTTGCTTTATTTCCTTTTTTACCCTTGGATTTTGGGGATACTTTAGGTAATAGGATTTTATTATGTATTTTCATTTAGCCTTTGTATTATGGGGCAAATTAGCTTAGGATTTATTTTAGGGCTTAAACCTTGACTTGTTAGGTCAAAGTCCACTTTTTTCTATTTTTAGGTCAAAGGGTATTTTGGTCTTTTAGGAGGAAGGAACCCATGCATCATCGCTACGGAAATTTCCGTAGATAAATTACCTACGGAAATTTCTGTAGGTAAGTTATCTACAAAAATTTCCGTAGATAAAAGCATCCGTAGATAAAATCCGTAGATAACGTTATCTATGGAAATTTTTCCTTAGATAACGTTATCTATGACCTTATTATCTACGGATTTTTTTCCGTAGATAATTATCAGTTATCTACGGATTTTCATCATTATCTACGGATTTTTTCCGTAGATAATGCTGATTTTTCTTGTAGTGGAAAGAACTAATATAAAAGACAAAGCTATCACTTTCACACTCGGACAAAAAGGGTCGATAAGATCAGACGTAGTATCTTGTAACCAGACGATGTAAAGAATGTTGAAGCACGCCTGAAGTCCGCTAATCACATTGAAAAGGAATTATACAAGAAACACAAGAGGACATCATCGTGAATAAAAAACTGGGCAAGCATGCATTCATAAGTCAAAGTCGAGTGCGTTAGAGAAAGGACACCTACTTTTCAAAAAAAGACAGCACTGTAGCGGCTAAACTGATGAGAAAAGTACAAATATACTAGATCATGATTGGGGTCAGATATCGAAGAAATCAACTATACAGAGAAGCTCCACAAATACAAGCAATCATTTAATGCAAGATCAAATGCATTAAATGAGAAGATCTGCATGAACATGAACGAAGCGTCCATCTGCTACGACACAAGCCCACGCTGTAACGAAAAAATTCAAATTAAAAGCAATAGGTAGATTTTTCAAAAAGTGTATAAGTATCAAGGCCAAGAAGAAGAAGAATAGAAGAATCAGACAAAAACGTGCAATAAGAAAAAGAAAATCAAGAGCATAAACCAATTTTTCTTCTCAAAGAAATTCCTGTATATCTATGTAAAAACTAAGATAGCTTATCTTAGTGAGTGTTGCCAATAGTTCTTCCTCTCTACGAGAGTAACCAAACACTCAAACACCCTATCTCAGAAAAACTAAGGTTACGCACCTTAGTGAGTGTAGAAATTATCCAATCCTCTCTGTAAGAGTAATACACACACTCAAAACCCACAACTGTTGTAAAGCCTAAAGAGGCTGGTAGAAAGAATACTTGTGAACTAGAAGTGGTTGAGAATACTAGCATTGGTGAGTGAATCCGACAGGTTAGGAGTGGTCGAGAGTACTTGTAGAACTAGAAGTGGTTAAGAATACTAACGTCTAGTTGAGAAGCCAAAAGTGGCTGAGAAAACTTGTAATCCTTTGTGATTAGCAGAACCCTTCTGCGGAAAGAAACTGGACGTAGCTCAGATTAAGTGAACCAGTATAATTGTCTGTGCATTCTTTTTACTTTTCAGTATTACATACTTTGCACCTGATCTACTTCTTTTTTCAACAAAGCTTTGAAAGAAAACTTATTTGACCTTGTTAAAACTATTTTACCAGACGATAATGTTTTCCAGACTGAAAACTAGTTTACTTAATCTTCTACGTTGAAAATTAGTTTTGTTAAAACAAAAATCACTAGACGAATATTCTTCTTAAACTTGCGAAAAGTAATCTTGTGAAATAACTCTAAAATTTTCCTTCGAATCCGAACACACACATTCAACCCCCCCTTCTATGTGTATTTTCGCTAACCTCACCATGACGTAAATCAATAAACGTATAATATTAAAATGCACATATAATGGACACGAACTACATATTATCATGCATGTGGCACCAGTAACACATCACATGGTGCATTGCCGCTAGCAACACACATAGAGTACTTTAGGAGGATATGTCGGGTCACATCCTTTATGCACTCTCACTAAAAGGACATACTAATAGGGTCTAGTTGAAATAGATAAGCCATGAGAGATACACCACATGCACACAATGGGCGACATTGGGACTTACAAATTGAGCTATCCCCAAGGATTAATCCCTAACCCTTTACACAAGATGATGGAGGACTATCCTTAGTGCTTCATATGGGACCCATCACTAGGTCCACGGCTAAGAGATTGGAAGAGGATAGGGGAGCTAACACCCCTAGAGACATACTTCTCATGGATAAAGAATATTAATCATGAAGTTTAGAGGAAAACACACAGAAAAGGGGTTGAATGTATGTGTACGAAGGATTTTTAAAACGTTTTCGCAAAGGTGCTTCTTTGCGTCAGAAGATAATGTTTCAAGTACTTCAAAGAATGTGTGAGATTGGTTAAAAGTGCTTCTTTTTGTCTGGGAATCTATCGTTTGCTCGAAACTAGTTGCTCAAGTTAAATAGATATAACTTTGTCTAAATATTGTTTTGAAAATAGATAGTAGTAAACAAAATTTTTTAGTATATTAAATCAATATAAGTAAAACTGCATTTTTAAAAAAAATATCAATGCACATAGTTTTTATACTGATCACAACGGATTACAAGTATTCTTAACTACTTTTGGTTCGTCAACTTCACTCATGCTAGTATTCTTAAACCACTTTGGATTGCCCAAGTATTTTCAAGCACTCCTGGTTCTTCAACTTCACTTGCTGACGCTAGTATTCTGAAACCACTTTTGGTTCTCTAAGTATTCTTTGACTAGGCTCTTCATGCTTTACAGACGATGGATGCTTTGAGTGTGTATGTAACTCTCATAGAGAGGATAGAATGGTTTCTACACTCATTAAGGTATTCAACCTTAGTTTTTCAAGAATGTGTTTAGAGTGTGTACGTAACTCTCATAGAGAGGATGGAATGGTTTCTACACTCACTAAGATAAACTATCTTAGTTTTACACGGATATTCAAATTTGAACAAGAAGAGATGTAAGATTGTTTTGACGCTTGCTTTTGCTTATTACTTGTTGCTTCTCTTCTCACTATCTTCTTTTCTCAGGTCTTGATATTTATAGCCTTGTGATAAATCTGCCAGTTGTTTGAATTTGAATGTGTCTATTGACGCAAAGCTTTCCATTGGTGCAGATGATCGCTTATTCATGGCTACAAAGATTTTTTTCATTTAATGCATTTGATTTTGCATTAAATGCTTTGCTTGCTAAGTTTGTGTTACATGAAGTCCTTTGCATAATTTGTTCCCTTTTATTTCTGACTTCAATCATGACCTAGGTATGTTTGTCCTTTTTCCATCAATGTAACTGCTGAGGCGTTGCCTTTCTCTGAAAGGTAGGTGTACTTGTCCTGACACATGCAACTTTGACTTGTGAATTCGTGCTCTTGACTTTTTTCTTCTTTCTTTTCATATCTTTGATAACTGCGTGTTCTTTTCTTTATGAATGGAGATGATATATGATCTTCTTCGTTATGACTAGTAAACTTCAAACTCTTTTTCAACATGCCTCGTTTGTGTTTGGAAATTTGAGTCTGCATCTAGGAGTTAGAGTTTGACTTTGTCATCTCGTCTGATTAATCTTGGAGGTGAATGACTTTTATTCCGTCTGGAATATTTCTCTGTCTTGTGTTGTCCAACAATTGATGATTGTTTTGTTGACCTTTATGTGGTTGACC